GAAGAATTAATAACAGCATCGGCAATTAAAGAAGCTCTGAGGACACTAATGGCTTCAGAGGAAGGGGAAACGATGAGGAAAAGGGCACAAGAATTAGGAAGGGCCGTTCGTCAGGCTGCTGAGGAAGGAGGAATTTCTCGAAAGGAGTTGGAATCCTTCATCAGCCATATCACTAGATAGACCCATTTTTCCTGGTACATTTTTCCTGGTGCATGGAGTGTTATACTCCCCTCCATTTTCGATTCTGCTCTTAATCTTTTTCTTGATCTTCTCTCTATTTCTTTGTGAAAAAACCAACAACATCATCAAGGACAAATGAACCAAGTTTACCTGTCCTGAACAATGTAAGAAACTTCTTCAATACCATTAAGCGCCTTCAGATGCTGTCTGAGGTACCTTAAGGGTCTTTTGTAATGCTTCAAATTGCTCTTCCATTAGGCACTCCAAGTCATTCTCATCTTCCATTTCGCCATTGAATTCTGACAGAGTTACATCCAGTGCACGCTGGACTGATGTTATGAGATCCGTAATTGAACGAGGAAAATGATTGATATTAGTTAAGGCATTAAAGGATCAAATTAAAAGATCGAATTTTGCCTCCGGTTGACCTCTGATTATCTAGTTCAAACCTCCAACAATCACAACTTAAGAAACAATAGCTATACTTAAGCATGCAGCCCATAAGTTTGTTTGTTCGTTTGTGTCACTTCGGCCAATAATTTTGTTTGTTCATTGTGTGTGAGTGAAGCACATAATTTTGTTTGTTTTGTTACCTATATGTAAAGCCCATAATGTTACTCTCTGTCAATGTGGATAGCACAATCCATCTCTGTTGGTCAAACCAAGCCGAAACAGTTGATGTTTTTTGATACAAAACCAAGCATTTTTTGTTTTTTGGGTACACAACGCAAGCAGTTAATTGATATTCTTTGAGATAAATGAACCATTCTAGACTTTTTGGGCGGCTAATAACTTAAGCTCTAGAACGTTCATCACTACTAGAAAATCAGGCATAAACGACAAGAACATATTCGATAACCAATTGACTATCGAATATAAACACATATTCAACAGCATTTTTGTCGAATATACTTGATTGTCGATTATAATCACTTTTTTGGTTCTTATTCGACAAAATATATATTTGACAGAAGGGTTGTCGAATATGTACCCATATTCGATAGAAAATCTTCTGTCAAATATGTATAATCAACAGCCTAATGCTGTCGATTATGTTTTTGCATATTCGACAGCATTGTTGTTGAACATGTAGGAAACAACAATGTTTCCTCTATATATTCGACAGCATTGCTGTTGAATATACCCGTTGATAACCCCCCGACCCCCCTTTCTTTCCCCATTTCTTTTTCTTCCTCTGCAGTGATCTGGTTCGTTGTTCTCTGATGCTGTTCTTACCGTTGCCGCTGGTATTCTTGCTTCTTGGCATCAAGTCCCCTGCTGTTGGAATATCCGCACTAGTGACGTTGACGGTGAGTTGGCCCCTCTCCTACGTGGAGATTTTTTTTTTCCTTGGATTTACAGTTGGCATTTGCATATTTCCTTGTAGATCCGTGCCTTTTGGTCCAAGATTCATCACCTCTAAGGCACCACGCGCCTCCATCGTGCCTTTTGTAAGTTGCAGCACTCTTTGTGTTTTCTTTCTTTTCTTTTCTTTTTTTTTTTTTTTTTTTTTTTTTTTTCATTTTGTTGTTGTTTCTCTCCTTATTTTTTCCTTGGATTTGAGTTTACAAGACCCCAATTTCATTTTTCTAGGTCAAAATCCAGCTTTTACAATCCAGCTTTTACTGCCTCCATTGCCTCCATAGTATTACCGTCACCATTGGCAGAGGAAATTGAGATTTTTGTGGTTTTTTTTATATAAAATTATATTGTCTTATTTGTAAGTTAGTGTAGATTATTACTATTATTGCATGAATTGTCAGTAAATTGTTGTTATTCCTTTTAAGTTTTTGAGATTGAGATTTATACGTTAATTACTTGCTTGAAGAGTTTTTTTTTAGTAAATTTGTATATACAATGTTATGGATTTTAGATTATTAAATTTGAGATTAATATTGAGATTGAGATCTAAATATCTTGAAATAGAGTGATATTTATCTTGAATTTCTATAGTTACAAATTTGTTATTTATTTCAAATTAACTTCATTTGAGAGATTGATATTGAGATTGAGATGTGCATTATTATTGAACTAAAATGATATTTAGATTAAATTTTTATATATCAAATTGTTTATTTCAAATTATTGAGATTAAAATCGGTATGATAATTAAACTAGAGTACTATTTATATTTATAATATATATTTATAAAATTACTAA